TTGACATTGAACTTTACACAACACAGCAATATTCTGTGGGATCCTCGCCATCTCTCTTGGAACGCGATGCAATCCCTCATCAAAACAACATAGTCCAAAATAAGTGTACACAGTATGACTTCCATGGGATATCAAAGTTGAGTCACTTCTGGGTAAGAAACAAGGAAAGAATGCAGGTAATCCTCAACTTACCTTCGCAGCTGTGTCCAAAATCAGTGTTGCTAAGCAAGACCGTTGCCAAGTGAGTTTTGGCCCATTTTACGACCTTTCTTGCCACAGCCGTTAAGTGAATCACTGCAGTTGTTAAGTTAGTCACCCAGTTGTTAAGTGAATCTGGCTTCCCCCATTGACTTTGCTTGTCAGAAGGTCGCCAAATGGGGATCACGTGATCCCGGGATGCTACAACCGTCATAATTATGAATCGGTTGCCAAGCATCCAAATTTTGGTCAACGGTTATGCGGTAGGTCATAGGCCACTTTTTTCAAAGTTGTTGTAACTTTGTACGGTCACAAAATGAATGGTTGTAAGTCAAGCACGACTTGTAATTCGCCATATTTTCCATAGCTAGCAACAGCTTTTGCCTTCATAATAAATGATGATGCTCAAGGACAGGGGTCTTCAAACTTGGCCCTTTTATGACTTGTGGACTTCAACTCCCAGAATTCCTGAGCCAGCCATGCTGAGGGGAAAGGGAGAGGTTTCCAAGCTGAGCCATGCTGGCTCAGGAATTCTGGGAGTTGAAGTCCAGAAGTCATAAAAGGGCCAAGTTTGAAGACCTCTCCCAGAATTCCTCAGTTAGGCACACTGGCTGAGGAATTCTGGGAGTTGAAGTCCACAAGTCATAAAAGGGCCAAGTTTCAAGACCTCTCCCAGAATTCCTCAGTCAGGCACGCTGGCTGAGAAATTCTGGAAGTTGAAATCCACAAGTCACAAAAGGGCCAAGTTTGAAGACCCCTCCCAGAATTCCTCAGCCAGGCACGCTGGCTGAGGAATTCTGGGAGTTGAAGTCCACAAGTAAAGGGCCAAGTTTGAAGACCCCTGCTTTAAGTCAAAATGCAGAAAGCTTCTTTGCTGCTCAAGCATGCTATGTACACACAGTGGAAATTTTTCTACTCCTTAATATTTGCTCTTGCTTGGCGGGGACCTGTTTGCGACTTATCTACTCCTTCTTGCTCAATTGATTAGTGGTAAATGGACAGATTCTACACATACAACAATTTAGGCTAATCTTCCTTATGTTAGGTAGCGGCGTGACGTCTACTTAAACGCCTCTGCAGGGCACGTCACAATGACACGTTTCAGAAGATTTCAGCAATTGTTTTGTCAAATAATCCAGTCTTGTCATTTTTGGGAACTCCTGCTGATAACGCCAAAGGGGATCTTCCAATAAGGGGAAATGACAGTCCCAAAATCTTGTGTGCTTTGCAAGAGTTTTGTTGTGATCTTGCATTCCAATCTGCAGTAGCAGAGTTAAATTCTATTTAGATGATTTCTGCAAAACAACGATGCTCTATCCCAGCTTCTTTTCCTACACCAAAAGCAGGTCTTGTGCTACCCATTTGCAGAGCTCAGACGATGCCGGCATCAAATCTCCTCCTTTCCCATCTCATCCTGTCATTAATACATTACAGAATAACAGAATAACAGAATTGGAATGGACATTGGAGGTCTTCTAATCCAACCTCCTGCTCAAGCAGCAGACCTTACACCACTTTAGACAAATGATTGTTCGGTCTTTTCTTAAAAGCCTCCAGTGTTGGAGCACCCACAACTTCTGAAGGCAAGTTGTTCCAAGTTTGTTGTTGATTGTTCTCACTGTCAGGAAATTTCTCCTTAGTTCTAGGTTGCTTCTCTCCTTGATGAGTTTCCATCCGTTGCTTCTTGTCCTGCCTTCAGGCGCTTTGGAGAATAGCTTGACTCCCTCTTCTTTGGGGCAGCCCCTGAGATATTGGAACCCTGCTATCATGTCCCCCATGGTCCTTCTCTTCATTAAACCTCTGCTCCACACCTTCCCTACAATCTGACCAGCCTCCTCAGACATCCTTAATGAAGTTATGATATTGCTTGGTCTTCTGTGCTTATTGATCTCAGGAGAAATGATGAACACTAATTGTCGGCTAAAATTTGTGACTTGATTACTGCCGCTCAACATCACCTCTTCTGCTTAATTGTTTCAGATGGGAAAGGAATGTGGATGTCATCAGCTTGAAATCTGGATAGAAGATAAGTGAAAAGACAAAGCAGACACTCTGAAACAAATTTAGTTGTAGTTTCAGTGAGAGGCAAACAAAACGAAACACCTGATGTATACCAGCTCAGTTACTTATATGCTTTCTAAAAATAGCTGCTAAAAATGTTGTTGTTAGTTGCGAAGTTGTGTCCGACCCATCGCGACCCCATGGACAACGTTCCTCCAGGCCTTCCTGTCCTCTACCATCTTCTGGAGTCCATTGAAGCTCACGCCTGCTGCTTCAGTGACTCCATCCGGCCACCTCATTCTCTGTCGTCCCCTTCTTCTCTTGCCCTCCATCTTTCCCAGCATTAGGGCCTTCTCCAGTGAGTCCTTCCTTCTCATTAGGTGGCCAAAGTACTTGAGTTTCAACTTCAGGATCTGGCCTTCTAAAGAGCAGTCGGGGTTGATCTCCTCTAGGACTGACCAGTTTGATCGCCTTGCAGTCCAGGGGACTCGCAGGAGTCTTCAAAATAACCATTTGTTAAAGGCAGGTATATATCCATCTTTCCTCCAGAGTTATTTGAAAATGTACTGTCTGTTTCGGTAGGGAGTGTTTGTTTAAAGGACGAAAACCCTTTTCATTTTGTGCTGTGGATTAGATTGGTCAATTGCTCGTAAATAATCACAAACCTACGTTTCATGTTTTATTAAACCAGTGAGTTTGTTATACAGGTAAGTCCTCAACTTACAGCCACAACTGAGCCCAACATTTCTGTGGCGAAGGGAGACCTTTGTGAAGTTTTGCTCCATTTTACGACCTTTCTTGTCACAGTCGTTAAGCGAATCACTGCAATTGTTAAGGCAGTAACATGGTTGTTAAGTGAACCTCGCTTGACTTTGCTTGTCAGAAAGATGCAAAAGGGGATCACAATGACCCCCGGGACACTGCGACCGTCGTAAATATGAACCGCTTCCAGCGTCCAAATTTTTATCATGTGATCATGGAGATGCTGCAGCAGCCGTTATGTGTGAAAAGCGGTCATAAGTCAATTTTTTCAGTGTCTTTGTAACTTTGAACGATCAGTGGAAGTGAAAAGCTTCATAGTTTCACCAGTTCTTAAAAAATAGGAGAAAGGGAATAAGCGGATGATTTAAATAAGCAAACTTCGCCATCTTGTGGAAGATGCTATCTTACACTATTAAGTCCAATATGCAGTTTAGATGTAAAAAATATAGAACAGGCTTTATTGTATAAAATAATTAATGGAAACAAGTTTGACATCAGGACAAGGATAAAGTCATAGAGCATTTTAACCGCCCAGGACACTTTAAATCAGATTTCAAAATATTCCGGAACAAGTGAATTGCGCTATCAAGCACGAAACTGCTGAACTCCTCTACATGAACAGGTTTCAGACTATCTCAGAAAGTCTTAATAAACACAATGGGTTTTATTATAATTGCTAATTTGTAATGTAATTGTAATCCGTCCCGTGTTTATTCTGCAGCTCTGTAACTATTCTCCCTCCCTTCTTTTCATCATTTCGATTTAAATCTTACAGCAGCTTAGCTGTTCCGTGCATCTGATGAATCAAGCGATCTATAATTCACAAACAGTAATGTTTTAGTCTGAAAAGGTGCTACTAAACTCCTTATGATTTTGAACTGTCATAGATTAAATATGGCTCAACTGTTACTGTTGCGGTAACAAAAAAAAAAGAGATGAAAAAAATCTTGTTGGATCCAATCTGGGTCAATCACGGGGTTTCAGACTTGTGCTGGACTTCTGCTGAGGATGGGCTCCATCCACGAGTCCGAAAGCTCGGAAGGCTAAACCTCCAATCCCCGTGATTGACCGAGATTGGATCGTACAACATTATCCTGGGATAGATATATTCATTTGTGAAAAGAAATCTGATTGGGGAGGTTAAAAAAAATGGAAAAATTTTCCTGAGGAAGAGGAGAAAGAGGAAGAAGAGGTGAAAGGAAGGGAGGACAAGGAGAAGAAAGGAAGGGAGGAATGGAGGAAGAGAGAGAGGAAGGGAGGGAGGAAGAGGAATGAATGAATAAAGGAAGGAAGGAAAGAAAGAAGGAAGGAAGATGAGGGGGAAGGGAAGAAGAAAGGAAGACAAGGAGAAGTGGAAGGAAGGGAAAGGAAGGAAGGAGGACAACGAGAAGGAAAGGAGATAAAAGGAAAGAGGGAGAAGGAAGGAAGGAAGGAGGACAACGAGAAGGAAAGGAGATAAAAGGAAAGGAGGAAGAAGGAAGGAAGGAGAAGGAGGAGAAAGAGAAGGAAAGGAGATGACAGGAAACGAGGAAGAAGGAAGGAAGGAAGGAAGGGAAGGAAGGAGAAAGAGAAGGAAAGGAGATAAAAGGAAAGGAGGTAGAAAGAAGGAAGGAGGAGAAAGAGAAGGAAAGGAGATAAAAGGAAAGGAGGAAGAAGGAAGGAAGGGAAGGAAGGAGGACAAAGAGAAGGAAAGGAGATAAAAGGAAAGGAGGGAAAAGGAAGGAAGGAGAAAGCTCAAAGAGAAGGAAGGAACGAGCAGAAGAAAGAACTGAAAGGAAGGGAGGAGGAGGAGGAGGAGGAGAAAGGAAGTGGAGAGGAAAAAAAAAGAAGCGCCAGCCTCCCTCGCTTCCTTTTTCCGGTCTCAGGGCGGCCCCGCCCCCTCGCGCAGCGCCGCCAGCCCACCCTCGCCCCGCCCACCCCCTCTGCCGCGCCTGCGCGAGTCCTCCCGGGCGTCCTTGGAGGAGCTGCCGCCGTCGGGGCTTCGCTGAGAGAGGGGGGGGGGCGGCCGTCCGTCCGTCCGTCCGTCGGGAAGCGCCGCCATGCAGAGCTGGAGCCGGGTCTGCTGCGCCCTCGCCCAGGTACGGCCGACGGGGGCCGGGGGACTCCGGCGGCTCCGCCAAGCGAGAAGCCCGGCTGCGTCGGAGCCTGGAGGGCGGCCCAATCCGGGCTTGGCGGGTCGGGTTAGCAGCCCGGCTGGGCAGGGGGCGCCTTCTGGAGGGGGAGGGGCGACACGGGTGTGCCGTGCGCACGACCCCAAGGCGGGGGCGGCCCCATCCTGGCAGCTTCAAAGAGGGGTGGGCTTCAAGGCAGCCCGGAATCCCCCAGCCGGCATGGCAGAAGTATGAGAGAGAGCTGGAAGGGACCCTTGGAGGTCCTCTAGTCGGACCCCCTGCTCAAGCAGCAGACCCTGTTCCACGCCACTCAAGGGGGCTGCCCAGCCTCCTCTTCAAACCCTCCACAACTTCCCACTGCTTGATCCATCAGTCGGAATAGAGCTGGAAAAGGGACCCTTGGAGGTCTTCTAGCCTGACCCCCCCCTGCTCGAGCAGGAGACCCCATGCCATTTCAGACAAATGGGGGTCCTATCTCTCTCTTTTTTTTTTAGAAACCTTCAGGGATGGAGCATCCCTCACTTCTGGAGGCAAGCCATTCCTCTGATTAATGAATACAGAATAGAGTTGGAAGGGACCTTGGAGATCTTCTAGTCCGACCCCCTTGCTCAGGCAAGGAAAGCCTGTACCATTTCAGACAAATGGCGGTCCAGGCTCTTCTTAAAAACCTCCAGTGTTGGAGCATTCACCACTTCTGGAGGCAAGCCTTTCCTCCGATTAATGAATCAGTCAGAATAGAGCTGGAAGGGACCTTAGAGGTCTTCTAGTCTGACCCCCTGCTCAAGCAGGAGACCTTATATCAGGGGCCTTCAAACTTGGCCCTTTTATGACTTGTGGACTTCAACTCCCAGAATTCCTCAGCCAGGCACGCCGTTCCACTGGTTGATCAATCGGTCTGGAGAGAGCTGGAAGGGACCCTTGGAGGTCTTCTAGCCTGACCCCCTGCTCGAGCAGGAGACCCCACACCACTTTCCAGATTAAACGATTAGAATTGGATTGTTCTGTAGTTTTCTGAAACGAAGGCTCTCTGGTGTGATCCAGAACACCACAGATCGCCCTCGACTTACAACGGTTCATTTAGCGACGTTCAAAGTTACAAAGACACTGAAAAAAGTGACTTATGACCGTTTTTCACACTTACGACCGTTACGGCATCCCCACGGTCACGTGTCAAAATTCAGACGCTTGGCAACTGACTCATATTTATGACTGTCGCACCGCCCCCGGGGTCACGTGATCCCCTTTGGCGACCTTCTGACAAGCAAAGTCAACGGGGGGGGGGGGGAAGGCAGACTCACTTAACAACCGGGTCACTAACTTAACAACTGCAGTGATTCACTTAAGAACTGTGGCAAGAAAGGCCGTAAAATGGGACAAACCTCCAGTTCTCACTTAGCAACAGAAATTTGGGAGGTGTGTGTGTGTCAGTTGTGGTCATAAGTTGAGGACTACCTGTATTCTGCACTTTTCTGAATTTCATAATGTGATAAGAATAAGCTGGATCTGTATAAGAATCTGTCATTTGCCTCTCTTGAAGTTTGAGATATGGGGCGTAATTTAAGCACAATAGTGTATTTTTTTTATATATAACATTTTTCTGCTATATAAACAGATTTGAACGTGGCCTTGAGATTAATTGCAAGGACTAAACGTCAAGGCTTGTGAGGAAGTATTGGCTTATAAGATTATTTGCACATAACAGACTTTGCTATTTACAATCTGCAGCCGGAGCAGGCTTCAAAATGGCTAATCACTTCAAAAGCACCTTCAGCTTTTATTTTATTTTTCCCCAAATCTTTATGATAGCAGAGTGTAATAAATGGAAATGCTATTTAAGATACAGAAAACAAAAGTAAGGATCAAGCTTTTGCACAGTGCGTTGTGTGGATGTGTCCTTCTTTCTGTGGGAATTTAGATGCCAAGGAAGACAAAACATTGAAGATTTTTTTCCCCTGTTTAGAGCTGGCAAGGATAGAGAGGAAATGATAAACTGAAGCCGAAACGTAAGAATAAAGACATTTAATTCGATCAAAATGTTAGGCTGGACCATAATCGATATTTAGCATCTTTATAAAAGAACATAAACTGATTATTTCCTCTTCTTTTTCCTTCCCCTCAGAGAGGCCATTTTAGCCGGATCCAGCATGGATTACAAAGCATTTCAGCAGGGCCTGTGAGAACTTACGCCGATCAAGGTAAATATTGTATAGCTTTGAATAAATAACATGGAAAAATGGGAATTTTTTTTTTTCTTCATAGGATCCGCAGTTCCTTCCGGGATAAGGTTTAGCTGCATTACTGTTTTTTTCTTTATTAAATTCTCACCCAGCTCTTTGAGTTCTACCAGACACCGGATCTGATATTTATGCATTTATACTACATAGTTTAGTGACTACATAGTGCAGGGGTAGGCAACCTTGGCTCTTTTATGACTCGTGGACTTCAACTCCCAGAATTCCTGAGCCAGCATGGCTCAGCTTGGAAACCTCTCCCTTCCCCTCAGCATGGCTGGCTCAGGAATTCTGGGAGTTGAAGTCCACGAGTCATAAAAGAGCCAAGGTTGCCCACCCCTGGTTTAGGTAGAGTTCTCTTTCCTGGCAATCTTTATAAACATGCACAGGTAGGCCTCAGCTTACAACAATTCATTTAGTGACCGCTTCAAGTTACCACAACACTGAAAAAAGCGAGTTATGGCCGTTTTTCACACTTATGACCATTGCAGCCTCCCCAGGGTCATGTGATCAAAATTCAGACGCTTGGCAACTAACTCATATTTATGACGGTCGCGGTGTCAATGATTCACTTAACACCTGTGGCAAGAAAGGTCATAAAATGAGGCAAAATTCACTGAACAGATGTTTCACTTCGCAACAGAAAATTGTGAAGCTTCATTGTGGCCATGAATCGACTACCTGTCATTTAAATACTGTAAATTCTCTGTGATTCTTTTTCTAAAATGAAGTTTGTGTCTTTTTTTTTAAATATTTTATTAGTTTTCCAATTTTACATTTGTATATTTAAAAAGCAACATGGTGACTGGGTTAATCAATAGTTCAATAACAAAATCTTAGTGCAAATGTCAGGTTACAACATCAAATATTTCTTCTCTTTTTCCCTTAACATTTACTGTCTCATATTCAGGTTAGTACATTTCTAATTATATCAACTCAAAAAGAACATCATTATTACATTTATCCATAAATTTTTAGCTTATACATATCTTAATTACATTCAGTCTTCATAAACTGTTATTGATTTTTACTCAGTTTTTAACTTCTTATCAATATTCCAATTTAACGTTTAATATTTATAATTTTCAGACTTTGGGTAACCAAAATTTCCCTCATCTCACTTCATAACAAGCTATAATATCCAAAATACATATTTTATCTACTTGAATATCATCTTGTTCCATTTCCTAAGAGTCATCTATTTCCCACCATATTAAATCATCTACTTAATAACACAATGTCCCCTTTAACAAATCAAAACCATTATATATATGTTGCCTGGGTTAATCAATAAATCAAACATATTCATAATATTTAATTTTCTTTTCCCTTTTAAGTCTTAATTTTTAAAAATTACAAGTTTGTGTCTTTATTTTTGTCAGTTGATGCTGATGTGACCGTCATCGGATCTGGCCCAGGGGGCTATGTGGCTGCCATCAAAGCCGCTCAACTTGGCTTTAAGGTGAGCAATAATTTGTATCAATAATTTGGAAAATTTTTTGCCAAAGTTCTTACCGACAAGTCGAAGACATTCAGTGACACACAAACGATGAGAGGTTTGAAATAGAAGCTCTGAGAATTAAATAATGTCAGTTTACCCTCAGTGGGGTTTTGACTTCTGGTATAGAATGAATATGACTATGGTTTCCTTTACCCTTGACCATTAGGATAGGAGACCACCAGGAAATTTGAAGGCTGCAGACTAGAGTGGGAATTTGGAGCGAGCATGCCAGAACAAAAGCAGGGCAAGCCCATTCTCTCCCCTCCAAAAAAAAAATGGCTTAGATAAATCAAACCGGAATCAAACTCAGCTTCACCGCTTTTTTCCCTTTCTCTTTGAGAATTAATTCCCGAGTAACCTATGTCGAATTCTGCCACTAAGGCACAGTTTTTGTTACGTTGTATTGCAACTCAAAAGGAAAAATTACTTATTTTATTTGTCAAATTTATTGGCCAGCCATCTTACTACAGGGTTGATTTCTGGACAAATTTTAACAGGATTGTTGTCCTTAAAAGATGAATCCAGATGCTGGGTTTCTGTATGAAAAGTCTGCTCAAATTATGTTTGAAAGCAGAAGTAAGAGATAGAAGAGAGATATTTTCTTTTTATAACCACCCTTGGTCCTTAATCTATGTTTAACTTCCTGTGGTTATTTTGCAAAAACCGCAGGACTTCAGTTTTTCTAAGGGGTCCTTCATGATCTCTTAACTTGATTGTTTCTTGCAGACGTTTCATTACCAAACTAGGTAAGGTCATCAGTGCTAGAAGGGACTGTTTTTCTATTTGGAAAAACGCTTCTAACACCTCCTAAAAACCCGGGACTACCTTTTCTGCAGCAAAACTAAACGGTTATAAATAAATAAAAACTCTTGCTTTTAAATCTTAGACCGTCTGCGTGGAGAAAAATGAAACACTGGGTGGGACCTGTTTGAATGTTGGCTGCATACCTTCTAAGGTAAGTTCAGGATTTGTCTTTCCCATTATATCGGAGGCAAATATCGCTTCAAACTGTGTGTGATGACCCAGGGCACAGCACCGAGGCAAATGCAGCCAGCTGGCAATTCAAACCCCCCTTTAATTGCTCCAAATTCTCCCCAAATGCTCCCACGTTTCTGGCAAGCCTCAGAACAAAGGAAGACACACACACACACCTCTGGCTGCAAGTAGTTTCACATACAGTCTGATTAGGAGAGGAATTTACTCAAGGCCACGGAGATAAGAAAGAATGACACATACATCATAAACCTAACGAGTCTGTGTGAATACACGCTTGCCTGAGCAGTTACAGAAGGGAATCCAAAATACAGTCCTTCAAACATCCAAAGAACGTTGTCAGCCAGTCCAATGGTCAGAGTTTCCGGGTTTCCAAGCAGAAGTCACAGAACAAGAGATCAGCAACAACAACACACACAAAACTGCAAGGAATCAGCATTTGTTCCCGACAAATGCCTCTCCCCACAGCGTCTCCTTAAATCTCAGTCTCCAGGTGTGCCTTGTGGAGAGGGGCGGGATGCTCTCCTCCTGAGTAGTTGAGCCTGCCTGTGTTGTTCCCTCCTTCTCTCCACTCTCCGTGCTCTAGGATCAGGAGGGGGTGGCCCTTGCTCATCGCCTGAACTCTGCCTCTCCTGTTCCTCCTGTCCCAATCGCTCCACGATCTCTGGTGGCAAGCTGTTCCACTGGTTGATTGTCCTCACTGTCAGGAAGTTTCTCCTTAATTCCAGGTTGCTTCTCTCCTTGACCAGTTTCCAACCATTGTTTCTCGTCCTTCCCTCTGGTGCTCTGGTGAACAACGTGACCCCCTCTTCTTGGTGGCAGCCCCTCAAATACCGGAACACTCCTATCATGTCTCCCCTGTTTCTTCTTTTCATTAGACTAGCCAAACCCAAGTCCCGCAGCCGTTCTTCGTATGTTTTAACCTCCAGGCCTTGGATCACCTTAGTAGAAAAGTAGTTATTTTAAATGCCCTTAATTTATTTTTTTTTAACGCAGCATTTTCTGGGCAGATTGCGTGTTTCATTGAAATCTGCTTTACATCACAGGCCTTGTTAAACAATTCACACCTGTACCATTTGGCTCACGGGAAAGACTTCGCTAGCAGGGGAATTGAAAGTGAGTATGCCAGGCAGTTGACATAACCCCAGTTCTGCTAAGTTTATTCCATTTATTTATTTGTTGGTTTGCATCCCGTCTTTAGTACTTTTGCAAATAACCCGAGGCGACAGTCGTACCCAGCATATCCTCCCTCCCTCCTGTTTTCCCCACAACGACCCTGTGAGGTGACTTGGGCCAGTCGCTTTCTTTCAGCCCTGGGAAGGAGGCAATGGCGAACCACTTTGGAAAAAGCTTGCCTAAAAAACCGCAGGGGCTCATTCAAGCAGTTGCCAGGAGTCAGCGCTGATTAAAAGGCACCAATTTGAAAGCACAAACAAAAAAGCCTCCCATTGGGCAGATGGTGGTCTAGGGCCCTTGTGAGAAGGAAGAGTCCATCTGAGCAGGATTGGGGGTGATTTCACTGACTTCCTTCCTGTCCCTTCCTTCCTGTCCCTTCCTTCCTTCCTTCCTTCCTTCCTTCCTTCCTTCCTGTCTCCCTTCCTGTCTCCTTCCCTCCCTCCTTCTTTCCTTCCTTCTTTCTTTTCTTCCTTCCTTCCTTCCTATCTCTCCTCTCTCCCTTCCTTCTTTGCTATCTCTCCTTCCATCCTATCTCCTTCCTATCTCTCCTTCCTCTCTCTTTCCCTCTTCCTTCCTTCCTTCCTTCTTCCTTCCTTCCTATCTCTCCTTCCTTCCTTCCTGTCTCTCCTTCCTTCCCTCCCTCCCTCTTTCCTTCTTTCCTTTCCTTTCTATCTCTCCTCTCTCCCTCCCTCCCTTCTTTGCTGTCTCTCCTTCCATCCTATCTCCTTCCTTCCTTCCTCTCTCCCTCCCTCCCTCTTTTCCTCCTTCCTTCCTTCCTTTCTATCTCTTCTTCCTTCCTGTCTCCCTTCCTATCTCTCCTTCCTTTCTTCCTTCCTATCTCTCCTCTCTCTCCCTCCATCCTTCCCTTTTTTCCTGTCTCGCCTTCCTTCCTGTCTCCCTATCTCTTCCTTCCTTCCTTCCTTCCTTCCTTCCTTCCTTCCTTCCTTCCTTCCTTCCTTCCTTCCTTCCTTCCTATCTCTCCTTCCTTTCTGTCCCCTTTCCTATCTCTCCTTCCTTCCTTCCTATCTCTCCTCTCTCCCTCCCTTCTTCCCTGTCTCTCCTTCCGTCCTATCTCCTTCCTTCCTTCCTATCTTTCCTTCCTCTCTCCCTCCTTCCCTTTTTTCCTGTCTCTCCTTCCTTCCTTCCTTCCTTCCTTCCTTCCTTCCTTCCTATCTCTCCTTCCTTCTTTCCTTCCTTCCTATCTCTCCTCCCTCCCTCCCTCCAGGCTAAGTGTGGAGTGCAATGTTTAGCTGTTCTGTGAATTTCCTTTAAGACTGGGGAATGGCCGAGATTACAAACTCCTCCGTAATTTGTGTTAAACAGTTACAGGTCTCCGATTGAATTTGGAGAAAATGATGGAGCAGAAGAGCGGCGCAGTGAAGGCTTTAACAGGAGGAATCGCTCACCTGTTTAAACAAAATAAGGTACGCTTTTGACAAAAACACACCGGCTCTTGCTTGCGTTATCCCTAGCTAGTAGGCACTTTACACCTCTTTGCTCTGCTGAGGGAGGATAAATAATAAAAGGGAAAAGGGAGATCCCTAGAAAATCTTTATTAGCAGAAGAGCTTAGAAAAATTAAGACAGATCGCTTAAAAGTGCTTTTCTTTGATCTTTCAAAAAAACAAAATTAATCTTCCAGATCCCTCACTTGCAGGGAAAGCGTATAAATTCCATTGCTACAGATCAGGGATGGATTTGTTTTTCTTATATTAAATGATGAGCGCAAACAAATAGTCTGATTTATATTCTGATTTTCAAGAACCTGTAGAAATGATCATATCTCAGATGGTCTCAACAGATTGGGATTTAGCCTAATCTGACTCCTCAAAAACAGTGGAATACCGGTAGTCCTTGACTTACAGACATTCGTTTAGTGCCAGGGTCTTCAAACCTGGCCCTTTTATGACTCGTGGACTTCAACTCCCAGAATTCCTCAGCCAGCATGGCTCAGCTTGGAAACCTCTCCCTTTCCCCTCAGCGTGGCTGGCTCAGGAATTCTGGGAGTTGAAGTCCACGAGTCCTAAAAGAGCCAAAGCTGCCCACCCCTGCCCTATATCAGGGGTCCTCAACCTTGGCAACTTTAAGATTCGTGGACTTCAATTCCCAGAATTCCTGAGCCAGCATGGCTCAGCTTGGAAACCTCTCCCTTTCCCCTCAGCATGGCTGGCTCAGGGATTCTGGGAGTTGAAGTCCACGAGTCATAAAGTGGCCTAGGCCTAGGCCAGAGGTAGGCAACCTCGGCCCTTTTATGACTGGTGGACTTCAACTCCCAGAATTCCTGAGCCAGCCACACAGGGGAAAGGGAGAGGTTTCCAAGCTGAGCTATGCTGGCTCAGGAATTCTGGGAGTTGAAGTCCACGAGTCTTAAAGTTGCCAAGGTTGAGGACCTCTGATATAGGGCAGGGGTGGGGAACCTTGGCTCTTTTATGACTGATGGATTTCAGCTCCCAGAATTCCTCAGCCAGCATGGCTCAGCTTGGAAACCTCTCCCTTTCCCCTCAGCATGGCTGGCTCAGGAATTCTGGGAGTTGAAGTCCACGAGTCATAAAAGAACGAAGGTTGCCTACCCCTGATCTAGGGTAATACTTACCCAGAATTTGGCTGAGGAGAATTTTTTTTCCCTTAAACTTGTTATTGTCTAAAAGTTATAGATGAATATTTCAGGGCTGTTCAACCTTGGCAACTTTTCAACCTGTGGACTTCAACTCCCAGAATTCCTCAGCCAGCATGGCTCAGCTTGGAAACCTCTCCCTTTCCCCTCAGCGTGGCTGGCTCAGGAATTCTGGGAGTTGAAGTCCACGAGTCATAAAAGGGCCAAGTTTGAAGACCCTTGGATTAGGGACTGTTAGAAGTTACAATGGCACTGACAAAAGTGACTTCTGACTGTTTTTCACACTTATGACCGTCGCAGCCTCCCCGAGGTTACGTGATCAAAATTCAGACGCTTGGCAACTGGCATGTACTTAGGACGGTTGCAGTGTCCCGGGGTCACGTGACCCGCTTTTGCGAGCTTCTGACAAGCAAAGTCAACGGGGAAACCAGATTCAGTTAATAGCCATGTTACTAACCTAGCCGCTGCCGTGATTCACTCAACAACTGTGGCAAGAAAGGTCATAAAACGGGGCAAAACCCGCTTAGCGACTGTCTCGCTTAGCAGTAGAAATTTTGAGCTCAGTGCTGGTTCTAAATCAAGGACTATGTGTGCTTATTCTTTTCTTGAGTGCCATTCTGCCATAATATATTTCAAATGTGTCTGAAGTGGTATAGGGTTTCCTGCCTGAGCAGGGGGTTGGACTAGATGACCTCCAAGGTCCCTTCCAACTTTATTATTATTATTATTATTATTATTATTATTATTATTATTATTATTATTATTATTATTATTATTATTATTAGTATTAGTATTATTAGTATTATTAGTATTAGTATTAGTATTATTAGTATTATTAAATATTATTATTATGGTTGTTGTTGTAGTTGTTGTTATTATTATTATTGAGGATCATCGCACAGTCAGCCAGATGTTCAGACTGGATTTGGCATTTTTGTCTACCTATCGAGTCCTTACCAAGGACCTGGGATAGGCAGATGTGGATGTTTGTTGTTGTTGTTATTATATGGTTGGTTGTTGTTATTATTATATGGTTGGTTGTTGTTGTTGTTGTTGTTGTTGTTGTTATTATTATTATTATTATTATTATTATTATTATTATTATTATATGCTTAGTTGCACAATCAGCCAGATACTCAGACTGGATTTGGCCTTTTTATCCACCCTATTAAGTCCTCCCCAAGGACCTGGGATAAGCAGATGTTGTAAAATAATATTAAAAGATATTGTTGCAGGGCCGAAGCTGTTCCAAGCAAAGCTGCCCTTTGGCATTTGGCTATTATTATTATTTAAACAATAAAGTCTTGGCACTAGATAATGGTTTCTTTGGTTTTTTTTAAAAAGGATTTTTCTTTCCTCCTGTAAGGTGACACACGTGTCCGGCTTTGGGAAAATAACTGGCAAAAACCAGGTCACCGCAGCCAAAGACGACGGCAGTACTCAGGTTATTAATACGAAGAACATCCTTATAGCTACCGGTTCTGAAGTAACGCCTTTTCCAGGAATTACGGTACGGCTTGACTTTGAAGTTTATCTAGCGTAATATCTAGTTTATCCAGCAGTGTGCTGCAGCTGCCAAAAAAGCCAACACAGTGCTAGGCTGCATTAACAGAGGGATAGAATCAAGATCACGTGAAGTGTTAATACCACTTTACAAGGCCTTGGTAAGGCCACACTTGGAATACGGCATCCAGTTTTGGTCACCACGATGTAAAAAAGATGCTGAGTACAGAGAAGAGCAACAAAGATGATTAGGGGACTGGAGGCTAAAGGATACAAGGAAAGGTTGCAGGAATTGGGTATGTCTAGTTTAATGAAGAGAAGGATGAGGGGGGACATGACAGCAGTGTTCCAATATCTCAGGGGTTGCCCCAAAGAAGAGGGAGTCAAGCTGTTCTCCAAAGTGCCTGAAGGCAGGACGAGAAGCAACAGATAGAAACTAATCAAGGAGAGAAGCAACCTAGAACTAAGGAGAAATTTCCTGACAGTTAGAACAATTAACCAATGGAACAACCTGCCTCCAGAAGCGGTGAATGCTCCAACACTGGAAGTTTTTAAGAAGAGACTGGACAGCCATTTGTCTGAAATGGTGTAGGGTTCCTGCCTGAGCAGGGGGTTGGACTCGATGACCTCCAAGGTCCCTTCCAACGTTGTTGTTGTTGTTGTTGTTGTTGTTATTATTATTATTATTATCTAGCATAATTTTTTTTCTTAAACTAACTAACTAACTCTCTCTCTCTCTCTCTCTCTCTCCTCCCCCTCCTCAATTTATTTAGATTGATGAAGACACAGTCGTATCGTCCACCGGCGCGCTTTCTTTGAAACAAGTCCCTGAAAAAATGGTCATCATTGGTGCAGGAGTCATTGGTGTAGAACTGGTAAGAAACAGACTTTTAAAAAAACTCTGTTCTTCACTGTTTCTAGTGCGATGCAATGGTTATATAGTTGGTGGGGTGGCCCCACTATTACAGGGTAACACCAATTTTAAAATTCCAGCACTGTTTAGTAGCAGAGTTTGGGACTCAATTTAAAGTTATTATCCAACAAAGCCCTGTATAGCGTGGTATCAAAATATTTCACTGCCTTGCCAAAATTTGAAATATTTTGATACAACGCCATACAGGGCTTTGTTGGGCAATAACTTTTAAATTGAGTCCCAAACTCTGCTACTAAACAGTGCTGCAATTTTAAAATCGGTATCACCCTGTAATACTGGGGCCACCCCACCAACTATATAACCTAAAAAGACCATGGATTTGAAGTTGGGAGAACCTTTTATTTCATGGTGGATGTTAGCTTGATTAGCGCGAAGTTCGTTCACCATCTTTGGAAAGTTACTTTGAAAACTTTGCTGATCCCAGGGTTCAGTTTGGCAGCGTCTGGGCGCAGATGTGACAGCTGTGGAATTCCTGGGCCACGTTGGTGGATTGGGCATCGACATGGAGATATCCAAGAATTTCCAGCGCATTCTTCAGAAGCAAGGACTTAAATTTAAATTGAATACTAAAGTCACCGGCGCCACTAGGAAACCGGATGGAAAGATTGACGTTTCGTAAGTATTCAGGAGGTAAATAACTGAATTTTTAAGTATCCCAAAGAATCAAAGAACGTTCCCCCGTTCAACGAGGCAAGGGAATTGGATCCTATTTTTTATTTATTGAATGTGCGCCTCCTGCTTTAAAGGACTTCAGAACAGGCATAGGAAGTAAATTAATAACTTGATTTATAGCATGTCTGCCCCACCACACAGCTTGCTCAGCATGTTTGGTTAGCCTTCGACCTATTATTCTTTTATATGGTATTGATAAAGATAGACTGTAAATAAATTTCTGTCTTGACTTTGATACCCTGTGGCTCCCTGTCTCCAGATTTTCAGGCAACCCTTCCTCCCTGGGATTTCATAAAGCAAGGGTCTTCAAACTTGGCCCTTTTATGACTTGTGGACTTCAACTTCCTCAGCACACTGGCTGAGGAATTCTGGGAGTTGAAGTCCACAAGTCATAAAAGGGCCAAGTTTGAAGACCCCTGTCATAAAGGCTTTCTCACCAGACTTTTGCAATTGACTCATGGCGAATTTGTCAATGCCGATGATAGGATTTTTAAATTGGGTTTTTTAGAAATTTTAATCACCACAAGACTAAAATATTGGTTTTAATTTGGTTTTATTCGGTGGGGTGTGTGAGTCTTTCTTTGTCTTTTAAATAATGTTGTGAGCCGCCCTGAGTCCTTTGGGAGAAGGGCGGGATATAAATTGAAATAATAAATAATAATAAATAAATAAATAAGTGTTCAAGTGGTGCTCCAGTTGTTTTGGGATTGCACCCAAGGTACCTATTACTATTAGTACTATTCTTGCTTGCCTTTGCCACAGTCTTTCTATTTCTATTTGTAGGTCTTTGTGTTTTGTTATCTTCTCCGGTTCTTTCTCGTCTGTTCTGCTGTCTCCAGGCACTGCCACGTCCACTATCCAGACTTTTTTGTCTTTCTTATCGACAATTGTTAAATCTGGGGTGTTATGTGGCAGGTGCTTATCTACTTGAATTCTTCCTCCTCCTCCTCCTCCTCCTCTTCCTCCTCCTCTTCTCCTTCTCCTCCTCCTTCCTTCTTCTTCTCCTCCTCCTCCTCCTTCCTTCTCCTCCTCCTCCTCTTCCTCCTCCTCCTCTTTCCTTCTTTTTCTCTTCTTCTTCTTCTTCTTCTTCTTCTTCTTCTTCTTCTTCTTCTTCTTCTTCTTCTTCTTCTTCTTCTTCTTCTTCTTCTTCTTCTTCTTCTTCTTCTCCTCCTCCTCCTCCTCCTCCTCC